ACCTGGTTGTCAGGCATTAGTTACTGCCCAATACCTAACAATAACATTCTTTCTGCTAGATAGCTTTTGAGGAGGGCTGTTCCTCAATAATGCTGTTTATTTGTTGCTGAAGGTTTCCAAGTGATTGACTAAAGGTGGTTCTGTTCAGTTCTAACAGTTGCCAGTCTGCACCTTCTTAGAACAAGTTTTCATGAAGTCTTGTGACATGGTGCAAGTGATCAGAAAGGAAAACAAGCGATGGATGGGTCTAAATGGGGAAGGTACCTGGGGAGGAGTAACCCTGTGCACCAGCAGCACAGTCTGGGAGCTGGGCTGCTGGAGAGCAGCTCTGTGAGAAGGACCTGGAGGTCCTGGTGGACCACAAGCTGTCCCTGAGCCATCAGCACCTTGTGCCAAGAAAGCCAGCGGTGTCCTGGGGTGCACTGGGGACGGCATTGCCAGCAGGGCAGGGGAGTGATCCTGCCCCTCAGCTCTGCTCTATTGAGGCCACATCTGGAGTGCTGTGTCCAGTTCTGGGCTCCTCAGTACCAGAGAGACTGGAGCTGGTCCAGTGGAGGCCTGCAAAGATGATGCAGGGACTGGAGCATCTCTCTTAGGAGGAAAAGACAAGAGAGGTGACTGAGAGGTCACCTCAGAATCTCATCAGCCAGATTCTTAGGTGTCTGAAGGGAGATGTCAGAGGATGGACCAGGCTCTGCTCAGTGGTGCCAGGCAGTAGGACAAGGACAATGTGCAGAAACTGATGCATAGGAATTTCCACCTGAATATGAGAAAGAACTTTACTGTACAGTGACCAAGCACTGGAACAGGTTGTCCAGAGAGGTTGTGGAGAGTCTCCCTCACTGGAGATGTTCAAGAGCTGTGTGGATGCAATCCTGTGCCGTGTGCTCTGGGATGGCCTGCTTGAGCAGGGAGGTTGGGCTGCATGAGCCACTGTGGTTCCTTCCAGCCTTACCCATTCCGTGATTCTGTGCAAAGTTCTGGAGTGGAAGTTCGTAACTTCTTGCAGTTTCTAGAGAAAGTTGTGAATATTGTGTGAACTCAAGTCTAAGTAGCGCATAAAGTGGATATCCAAATCAGTGACATGTTTACGCAGATTGTAACTTTTAGGTGATTTGTGTTTCAGTAGTTGTGATTAGTGATTAAGGTGACTTCCCTGACCTTGCCATAAAATGTCAGTCTTTAAAACTCAGGGCCTTTTGAAATAATAAATTAGGACTTAAGTTGTTATGAGGCCAAGGAGATCTATGCCAATTCTTAGGGGACACTGTAGTGAAACTACTGACTATAACAAAGAAGAGATGCTGAAAGTTTCAGAGCATTTTTTAAGTTTTAAAATACAGTATGCAGAATGAAGTTGTTCATATTAATGTCTGGGCATTTGCACAAATCAGTAATGTCATTCTTCCAGGTATATTCAAAACTAAAATAAATCTAGTGAATGGTTAGTTAGGTTAGTAGTCCTTTGCTCAGCCTCCTGACATACTGTAACTGAAGTGCTTGAATATTTATTCATAGCATCACTTGCATGCAGACAGTTACATTAAGGACATGATTACAAAGTAGCCAAGTGTTCTTGAAATAACAAGTAATAGTTCAGTAAAAATATGGAAAAATTGTATTACTTTTGTTCTCTTCTTGGAGCTCTATAAGGATTAGCTCATAAAAAGCTAAGTCTGCAGCTCATTAAATGAAATATTTTCTTGATGTTGTACATCTTGCGCTTCTTTTTATGAGAGAAGGATAAATATTTCTGTCCTGGGGCTCATGTAATTGCAAGTAGATTTGTCTTCATTTCTGGTGAAGCCTTTTGCTCACAACCTGAAGTCACAAGTGAAGTCTCTCTTTAAGCTAAATCACTTCTGTCTTGCCACATTAAAATGATTTCCTGCTCTTTACTCCCTTTATGTTATTTTACTATGTTAAACTGCATTTGCAGAAATCTAACTATTGTCAGGCTGTAGACACAGAACTGCTGTCTTTAAAAAATGGGCTCTGGCAGTAGAACGAAGCTGTGGAGGAAAGTTTGCTGGATCTCAGGACCTCAAGTAGCAAATATTTGCCTTTGAGCTGTTTTTTATCTTCTTACAGTGGAGCAAAGCAGTGTTGTTGGTTCTGCTGCCATGCAGCTGAGGTTTTGATTTCAATGTTTTCAGCTGCAGTGGAGGAATGTAATAGTTCAAGCATTTCTTAAAGCAAAATGTTCTCCTTTGTGTGGGGAGAAAATTGAAGATGAGCATTTATTCCCCCCACTGAATTTAAAGGCACACAGTGAACTTTAAACTCTAGAGATTTGAGGGTTTGGTTTTTTCTTCTTTATAAAACTGTAGTAATGACAGTGGTTTTTCTGCACACTTCTGTGGTTTGCTGTTCTCTTTTCAATCCAGATTCTGTTCTCCTCGATAATCAGGTCAATCAATTGACCATAGAGCGTGATTAAGCACAAGAGACAGCCTGGTTGCCTGAGGAGGAGTGACACAGAGGGAAGAAGCAAGAGGGAGGCCAGCTGGTACCCTGGGATTTAATAACGCACTACCTGTCAGCTCTTGGCTTGGCTGCTTGATAGGTGCAGTGAGTGGAGTCAATCAGCTTGAAGAATTAAATCAAACTTCATTTTTCTTCACCTTGTGTTTGGAGTGGGATCACAGAGCTCACCTTTTTCTTACTTTGCAGCTGAAACCTGTTAGTGCATTGTGAGCTGCTTGTTTGTTTTATACCCTCTTGTATTTAGCAACAGTAGGTAAAATTGGTAATGAGAGGTTTTTCCCCCTCTATTTCTTCGACTGGGCCTATCTGAAGTTTCAAAGTCAAACATTAGTCTTCACCTAGTATGTTAAAAGTGTACTTTTTTATAGCAAATTGAGCTTCCTAAGTTCTCCTCTTTAGCTGTTTTCAACTGTGTGCTGCTTCTCATGGCTTGTATTTTTCAGTCATGACCTTCATTTTAATCCATTGTGAAGTTAGATTTCTGAATCATTTTTGGAGAGCTTAATTTTAAACTGTTCTACAATTTAAATTATTAGTATTAAATTGCTATGTTCCAGGGAAATATTTATAGTAAAGAAATGCATTTATTTTCTCTGAGTGATCTAGAAATAAAATAGTTTTATTTGGAAACAATTAGCTACTTGTGAGAAATGTGATTTTGTAGATACTTGATATATTTAGTACTTAATTTTTATTACTTTTAGAAAGCCACAGTTCAGTAAGACTATTGTATATTAGCTACTTAATAGAAAAACTGAAGTAATAATTTCAAAGTTGGTATGTGGTTGATTCATTTCCCTTTAAAACAATTCTCTTTCATCTTAATTTCTTGCTCTGTGGGGTACTGCCATGGTGAGATATGTGGAACACTTGATAAGGAAGGAGCAACTCCAGCTGCCATGGCCAGGCACTTTCCAGCGTTCATGGAGTGAGAGAGGGCATTGCAGGGAACGTGCACACAGTGGGGAGGAGGGATAAAGGGGCTCTTCCAAGTGCATGGTGAGACAAACAAGGAAAGATCTGTGCTTAGCTTTCCCAGGGAAAGGAAAGGAGATTGAACATTATGGAATGAATAGTCCTCTTCACCCTCATGTCTCTACCCTGATTTCATCTATTTGTGACCAAACACAGCATTTTCTTTTTTTTATTTTGTGGTCAAGTCTCAATTCAGTACTAATTTTGAAGCTGTAATAAAGTGGCAATTTTCAAAAGTGTGATACTAATTGATTTCTTCAAGGACATGGAAGCTATGCAAGGATTATTGCTTCTTGTCTTCAGTGTGTAGCCTATTACCTTTGCATCAGTTAAACCATCTTTTAAGAGACAGTAATTAGCCTGTGCTGAGAGTTTTTCACTGCCTGAAGAACTTTTAACTATACAAAAGAGTCAGTAGTGCAGGTGAAATATTCCCTTTGTTGTCAGAACTGAAAATAATAGCCAGTAGGAACCTCTCAAGGTACAGAGCAAACACAGAAGAAGTTATGTCCTACATGCACAGGCAATGCATCTTAGTTTTCTTTCTGAACTTCACAGAGCTCCTCTGCCTGTCTCCATCCTTTCCCTTAACCCTGCACTGCAGTGTCCATTATTGCAGTGTCCATCCCTCTCACTGAAGAAAGACAGACTCTATTCACTTGTCTCTTTGCCCCAGCAGCAGCATTAGACATATTCTGGTCTTTAGTTTACAGCACACATTTCCTGGTTTCCTGTCCTGTGTTCTTTGGGAGGCAGTCTTGTCTTTCTCCACTTACTTCATGATGATGGAACTATCAATTTTAACCCCTCTTCCTTATCTCAGCATGGTTTTGATAGTCAGTTTAAGTGTTGGGTGATAATCAACTGTATTTTCCTTCTGACATCATTCTTGCCACTGGAGCATCTGGTCTATAAAGTGTTAACTAATAGATTCTGTCATCTGAGCAGCATTTTCTGAACCCACTTCCTTGCCTTTAGCTAACTTGTTTAGATTTGAATGAATGAGTTTGTTTAACATAGCATTTTAAACCTAGTGATCCAAATACAGATTTTTTTTGTTTTGCTTTTACTAGAGTAGAATAATAACAGTGAGTGGGGAAATGAAAAAAACTTGCTAAATTAAAAAAAAAACAAACAAGCCCAGCCAGAAAAACCCACAGCTGACAATATAATTTTTCTTTTTAATCTAATGAGGTGAGATAGATGAATATGAAAGCTGGGTCAAAAAGCTTATGTAATTTTCAGACCCTAAATATAGAATGGTGTAATGACACAAAAAGATCAATCTCTGTGCACATGTTCTGGTAGAGTATTTTTGTTTTGTTGTTATTTTGCGCATGCAGTTTCAAACTGAGCTGGATACCCCCTGCTTGGATAAACAGTCTTGCTAATATTCCTGCCCTATGCTATGTGGCAATATAAAATGACATGTAGCATGTAGGTTTCTTTATGATTGCAGTCTGGGTGTGGGGTCATTTTATTGATAGAAAAATTTCCATGTTCTCATTGTTAAATTTACCTTTTTTTTTTTAATATAGTAGTGGAATGGGGTGATGATGTCAAAGCAGTGTCAGAAGATGAAGCCATGGTGCTGGTGAACCACCAAGCGACGGGCGACGTGTGCACGCTGATGATGTGCCTGCAGGACAAAGGCACGGTAGGCTACAGCCGGGGCAGGGGTGGTGCTGGGTTCCCTGCTCTCATCCCTGTGCAGCCCTGATAACCCACCAGGGCACCTCAGCAGGGAGCTTTTTGTTTGGATTTGGTCCAGTGTGACAGCCAGGAGCTTGGAGCTGGTGTAGACCCTGGACATTGTTTGGAGAAGGTGAGCTGTGGGTTGAGTCACTGTGCATCCAGTCAAGGTTAGCACAGAGAGAAGCAGATCTCCTCACAAGCAATCCTGTACTTGACTTTTTCCTCTCACCTCGTGCCTTTGTGCAGCTCAAGCCAAATCTGCGCACACCAGCACAGGTTGAGCTTCTTGGTTATGACTTTATTGCAGCATGGAATTTTTCTCAAAGTTAGAGCAAGCAGTGTATGGGATTTTGGTAGGATGAGGGCATACCAAAGCTGAGCTACCTAGCTAAGGCCAAAATTGTTTGAGCTCTTTTTTCACAAGCCCTTAAGGATTTCTTGGTGAGAAATGTAACTAATGTTAATTGTTCCATGCATTGCTGTTCAGAAAATTGATCTCTAAAGAGTGGAAACCAATCTAAACAGGAGATCAGATTTCTGTACAAATCAGGAAGAAGGGCATGTGTGCATGATTAGGCTGCAGAGAGTAGGAGGCATACCTGTCAAGCTGAAAAAATGCAGCAGCTGTATCTGTCTTAGTGTTATCTTCTTTCTTGAAGTGTCTTAGTGTTGCTTCCTTCATCATACCCTGAAGAAACAAGGAAACAAGAACTGGTTTTTGTTGCATCTGCACAATTTATACTTGGCACTGTTTTTCTGAGTGCAGATTAATAGAGTTAGGGGTACACTTACCTTTATCAATGATGTAACATTATTTAAAAAGTTTTCCAGATCTTGCTTATGACAGCAAAGCTGATGAGAAAAAAAAACAAACCACAACTTTTAAACAACCCCACCTCACAAAGTATGAAAATGGTACTCAAGATGGAGCAGAGACCTTTCTTTCTTTCTACTCTAGGCTAGAGCAGGCTGTTGTAAAAGTACTTTTGATTGCTTTCATTTCTTTTGGAATTGAGGACATTTGGTATAGATGGTATTCTGTGCTGTACCCAAATGAGTAGAATGACAGAATAAACTCTTTAATTTCCCTCATCAAAATTGTACCTAGGACAATCTTGTGGTGAAGATGTGACTGTGAGGGTGTAGTCCTGTGGATATGTATGGCATATGATCTTAACCACTGGTTTATAGATATAAATATAAGTCGTGCTGAATTTTACCCCATTTGACCCCATAGCTTAAACACTTCAGTCAAGGCAGAGTAAATTTCAGTGAATGCAGGAGATGCTAAAAATGAAGGAAGGCATTGAGATCACAAATAATCTTCACCATGGAAATTACTAAGTTTGCATGTTTTCAGAAAAGCAGAAAATCCCTAAAATCACTATTTTTTCCCTGAAGTTGTTGCAGTCATTGCTCTTGGAATGTGCATGTCCCCAGCTTAGTATGGCTTTGATGTTTTTAGCTAATAAAGAAGAAAAACAATATGAGCTTCAATGCATGCTTAAAATACGGCATGAGTAATACAAGTGGCTGAAAATAATGAGAAAGATCAGGATAGTTTGTTTGCTAGAACTTGCTGGATCAGGTGCTTTTAAATAGCATGCTTTGTATTTCTAAAGAGAATTGTCTTTACTTAGTGTGACTTTGGAAGTACTGGAGGAAAAAAAAATAAACCTACCTGTCCAGAAATAGTCATTGTACAGTATGCAAATGCCTAAATTAGTCACCTTTCCTTAAAGCATGTTTAAACTTAACATGGAGTCCTTCACAAGCTTGATACTAATCTATCAGCAAGATTGTAATTTTCAAGAATTTTTTTTTTGTTTAGGATGGTTAAGCTTGTGCTAGTCCAAAACTTCTTTTGCTTGCTTTTACTGCCAGTACAGACCAAAACCAGATGTAATCTGCAAGTACTTAGAGTTTAATGCTGTTTTTTAAAAAATGTTCATGCAAGACAGCAGAAGTGTTCAGTTTAAAGTTCTGGATTTTTCTGTGTAGTGAGGCAAATGCATGAGACAGTCTTGTAACTTGACAGTATTTCCCAAGGGTGGTGTTGGGTAATTTTTTCCAGTATTTTATAAATTCTTATATACCAATCAGAGTGTGGCCTATCTGTTTTAAGTCAATTTAATCTCACAAAGCAGTAAGATAAAATACATGTGCTGAGATATTTCTGGTTTTTTAGATTCACTTACATGAATAAAAAAAGAATGATCTCTAATCAGAGAAGTGGAACTTCAGCTAAAAATTAGAATTTTAGTAGAAAGGCTGGATTGGCATTATTTGATTAATACATTATGTCATAATATAAGCCAAACAGCAAAATTTCAGGTGAACCAGAAGTGACCTAATTACACTTTTATTAAAGTTTGAGAAATTTCTTTGTGAAAGTAAGAGTTAAAAAAATTCAGTAAGTAAGTTGTGTTCTCATAAATATTGAAGATTATGTGTTTAACACAAAGAAGTAGGGTAAAATTCTGCTATTACTGTTTTCTGACAGGATTAGGACTGATAAATGTGGGGTTTTTTTCTGATTTGGAACAGGAGGCAGTGCCAGGAAGGGTGTAGTGGGGACAAAAGTGCAGCTTGCAGTGGTTTGTGTGCAGATTTCAAGTTGTGCTTTCTCAGGTTTCATTGTTAAGTTACAGGTGCTTGAAAGATGAAAGTCAGTCTGTCCAGGTTGCTTTGTTATGAAATCTGTGTAGGCTGAAGCAGGCCTGTGAATAGAAGGCACCTAGATATTTTTTTTATATAGTTGGAAAAAGCTTTTGCTAGCTTCTGAACTTACTTAACCAGGAAGCATGAAGGAAAAAGGACCTAAAGTGGCATCCAAAAGTATTGGAATGTGATCCCAATATTTCCAGGTAGATTGTGCTTGGGCTAATCTGACCCTTGCTGCTGGGCCAAAGGCGGCAACTGTGGTGTTTCACCTCAGAGACACTTTTGGTTGGCTGGAGGTTGCAGCTGGGCGCTGAAACAAGTCCAGGCTTGTAGAAACCCAGTTTACCTCAGGTGGGAAGGCTTCAGGCTAGGGTGAGAAGGAAAAGGAGATGGATTGTGCCGGAGGGTTAATATCCAGAGTTTTATTCCATGGTCACAGACACCTGAATCTTAGGTAACAGCTCCAACAGAATACTAACTGTGTGGTCCTGGCTGAATTTAAGCCCAGAGACAGGGGGAGGGGAAGGGACAGGTGAAGCACCAACCTGGTGAGAGGAGGAGGGTCTCAGGGAACGAGGGACACATAGACAGGCCAATGACCCCCAGGCCTGAATTGCATCCTTTGAACTTGACCAACCACACGATGGCCTTGCTGGAATGTTAAAACTGATTGACAGCTCAGCAGGGGGCGAGGGGGAAGGGGAAGAGAGGTATTGCCACCCCTGAGAAGGGGCTGGGAAGTTTAAAACAGGAAATTGCAACGCACAGCAACACAAAAGTTCTTTGAAGCCATCAACAACTATTAATTTGTTTTCAGACTACTTCTGAATGTCTTTGTTTAAACCTCCTTGAAATGCAAGTGATAAGAGGTTTATCTCATAAATTGTTGCTTTATTCCTGAGGATAATAAGTAGAGGAGTCACTACATAGAAGAGTTACCAGCAAAATTTTGCAGTGTCCTCTATTCTGCCCTTGCTAGCAGAATAAAAGGAATATCTATTAATCTCATTTGCCTTTTGAATGCAGACAAGAGAACTGTGTCCTATTCCTTGAACTGCTTTTTGATTTGGTGTGTTAGTATGTGTATATATATTGCTTCAGGCATAAAAAAATACTTTCTCTTTGTACTTCTTACCATTGCCTAGGCTTACAGGCAGATGTATGATCACTGGGCTCTGAAGTTTGTCTCTTTGTAGCCCACACACTGCAGACTGTGAGTGTCTCAGTTGTAATTTGTGTGTCAGACTTACGTTTGACAAAATCTCATCCCTCAGAAAGACTGGGGAAGCTCAGGGATGCTAGTTATAGAAGCCCTGTGGCACCTGAAACAAGGTGAGATGGACTTCAGACTTTGAAAAGCAGTGATCAACTTGCAGGATAAATCTAAATTAAAAGACAGCATCAGATGGTCTGGTAGGGGAGAAGCAGTAGCACTGCTGGGCAAGGGTTCCTCATCCAGGATTGCCATGGAACATCTGGGACCAGTGCTGACTCCTCAAAAGACACATTTTCTTTCCAGCAAAGCAGAGTATTAAGCTTGCTTATCTCCTGCAGTAAAATAGATTGTGCTGGTTTAACTTCTGCTTGATGCAATAGAAGGTAGTTGTCAGAATGCCAGAGTAGTAGATGAACACTGGCAGGCCTGAGTACTGCTGCAGGCTAAATCATCATTAGTGAAATTTTGGTGGTGTTTCTATCAAGGGATGTGGTTCCCTACAGCAGCCTGTCCCCTTTGGGTGATGCATGGGCATGAGCTTGTTGTGGTGCCTTGATGAGCAGTAACACCTCTGGTGATGCTTTTTTGACTCTTGTCCTTAGGGCACACCCTTCTTTCTTGTTTTTTTTTTGCATAAAGCTTTTTAGTTTACTGAAATGGAAAGAATGTTAATGTGTGCAGAGAAGAATTTTGGCTCACTTTAATTTAACACAGCCTGGAGATCACTGTAGGATAAATGATTTCACCAATATTAGTCTCAACTAAGGATCTAGGAACTAATTTTTCTTTTGTTACTCAGAAATACATAGTGTGCCTTTGGTCCTTTGGATGCATCTAGTAAGGAATACCACTGGCAGACAGGAAGGGATAGTAGCATGTTATCTTTATTTCTTAGGCTGCTTTCTTCTGTGTTTGCCTCAAAGTGCATGAGAAAGATGCAAAGCAGAAGGTGCTTGCATGATCCTCTGACCACCAGAAAAATGTCACAGTCCTTCATATTCTTTGTTGATAGTGGTAAATGGAAGAGTACAGGCTTACATGACTTCAGGCTCACTGAACTTGTGCCAGCTGTGATGTGGGCTCATAACCCAGGGAAGAGAAAAGGCAGCCCATGATTGGGAGCATGTAAGAGACACTGGGTGTTCCAGTTTTGGGGAACCACTTCCTACCCCTCTCAAAAACTACGTGTAGGAGAGATAGAGGAAAAAGACCTTGTGAGAAAAGAAGCTTTTCCCTTCTGTTGTTTACTTTGTTGGGAGAAATTCTCCTATTTTAAATCTCAAAGGACTGAACAGGTCAAGTAGCTGCCTTCACTGTCCTGTAAGAAGCAATGGTCAAGTGAATTGATCTGCTCAACCTTGCTGGTTTTGCCTTCCCACTGTGCTGCTTGACTGGGACAAGCAGCAGGCTTTGATTAAGTTCTCAGGGATACAAGTGGCAGCTCTGCCCTGGCTAATGCTGTACAACTGTGTGTTACATAACAAAAAGGCAGCTATTTAATCCTACTCTCAAGGGAGAAGCATAGCACCTGTGCTGCTTTATATTTTGGGCATAAAGGACCTTATTCTATTTATTTGCCAGTTTTATTGCTATTGTAAGAGTGACAAGAATGTGACCAGTATATACATAACTCATCATTCTCTGCACTTGATAATTCACTCATTTTAAAAATTTCTTTTTACTTTTCAGGTTGTCCGTCAGATGATGTGGCTGATGGACCATATTTTTAAGTATACAAACTTTGGCATTGTGTCTCTAATCCATGGAGACTTCTTTATAAGACAGGTACATGGAAACACACAATACTGCTTTGATTTATCCTTATATTTGGAACATCATGGTGTTATGGGACTTACTTATCACCTTGTGGTTGGTTTGCATGATGAAATAGCTTTGCTGTGAAATGTATATTTGAGGAGGTCTTTGTTCTGAAGCTGCTTTATTTTCCAAGCTGTTTTTATTATTTGCATAGACACAAATGATGATGGAATCCAGTTGTGAATGGAGCCTATTATGAGAGAGGTGTAGAAGCAAAATGCATGGGCAGTCCTTTTTATCTCTGTTTCTGAGCACGCCTCTCATCTTTTCTTAGTGACCTTGAAGCCATGCAGGGAGTCTGTCTGGTTAGGTCACTCTTCTGGCTGCGAAGTTTCAAATTAGGACAGGCAGGACGGTCCCTTTTGATGGTGACATAGTAGTGATCAATTTAAGGTGGTTATGGACCTGTGTAAATAGTAATTAATTGGTCCTCGAAGGGTAATTATTATTTGAGCATTAGAAAAGAATGTTTATTGAGCTCAACATCTGAAATATAAATGAATGAGACCTTCAGATTATTTCATACAGCTTGGGTAAGGCTTTTTGTTGTGTGGTGGCTGTTGATCAAACTGCACTCTCCAAGTAGTAACTCAGGAGGCCAATGAAAAGCATGAACCTGTTTCCAGTTACATGAACTGCAATATCCATCATACATGTTTCTTTGCTCTCCTTAATCCTTTGTCTGAACATAAAATGTGTAGAGAGCCAGAGAGAATTAATGAATTTTCACATTGCAGATTAGTTAATTTACCCAAAATGAAATAAAGAAATGCCTAATCACAGCAGGACACAGCTGAAGTGAGATTCACTAACACTACAGGCATGGTTAGAAAACAAAGGTCTCTAGGGGCACACAGCTAATGTATTGTGAGAGGATGGATGGATGGATGGATGGATGGAAGGAAGGAACAGGGTTGGATGCTGTGTAAAATATAAATCTGTTCCTATAGGTAGACTTTACAATATGCACATTTTGAGGTACACAAGGCTGTCACCTTGTTAGTTACAGTTTCTGAGTGTGGGGTTGCAATTCCAGTCACGAAACCAAACCGTCACTGAGCTGCAAAAACAAAGGCTTTTCCTCATTTTTGTAAAGTGGCTGGCATAGACAGCATCACGGATACAATGATGTCATTGTGAGTCTAAAGATAAGCCAATTGAAAATATAATGTTTCTAGGCTGTCAGCCTTTGGGTGTGGCAGAATACTTCATTTGAGTGAGTAATGGTCCTTTGCCTAACTCTAGTAATATTTGGATTATTATTGTTCACTGCTCTTTTCTTAACTACTGTGCTATCCTGGAGTCCTGTGGACTGATATAAGAAAGGACAGTGTAACTGAGGACTTTTATGTTGCTTTATAATTGCATTAATATGAGCAGGCAAAGCCTTTTCCTTGCCTCTCATGCTAAGTTGGAAGTAATTGCAGTGGGGAGACTTAAATGTAGGAGAAGCACTTCCACAAAACTCACTTTCAGTAAAATACTGTCTTTCATTCAACCCCATGCGTTCTCTCTTCCTTCCTCTGTCCAAAAAACCCAGCTAACCACCAAACAGTGCAATGTTTGTGGCAATGTTGTTGACATTTCAGAGAATTGAAATCACCTCTGCTGAAGAGAGCTTTAATTTTTCCCTCCTGTGTCTTTTGAGTGATTTGACAAGGTCACTTTGAAACACTCAAAAATGCTAATTAATGTAAAGAGATTCCTCTGAAAATTTGGATAGCTTGGTGCATGCAAAGATGGGAAGAGGAAAGATTGTTCCTGAAGATATTTGTGCAGTAATTAAGGCTGTATCTTACTGTTCTTGAATGAAGAAGTTGTCCTCATGCACCAAAGAGGAGAAATGAGTGGGTCTTTGGAGCAGGGCAGATCTGAGTGAGGTCTGTGGTTCTGCTGGGCTAACCGAGCTGAGGTCCATAGGCCTCCAGCAGGTACTCCAAGGAGAACGTTGCTTTTTATTGTCTCAGGGGCTTATTTTTATCTCTGAAGAGAGAGAAACCTTAGAAGTATAATAATTATGTGTGATGTTACCTCTTTAAAGCAATCATTTTATTTGGATAATGTCTTATCCTTACAGGGGAGAACACACCGTGACCAGCAGCTCGTGTTACTCAAAGACCATCTAGAAAAATATTATAGGAGCCGCAATAGGAAGTGGATTGTTTTATTTCCAGAGGGTGGCTTTCTTAGGAAAAGAAGAGAAACAAGCCAGGCATTTGCCAAGAAAAACAATTTGCCATTTCTTAAGCATGTCACCCTGCCAAGACTTGGGGCAACACAAGTCATTCTGAAGACGCTTGTAGCGCCACAAGAAAATGGAACTCCACCAGCTGGAGATGGTGTGAGAAGAGGTAAAGATCACTTCACTCTATGGGTATAAAGCAAATTAAATGTCAGAGACTTGAGTTAAAAAATACATTGTGTAGAATTGGTCTCTTTAAATATCAAAAACATTGTAAAAATATTTTCATAATTAGTTTTAGTTCACTGACTTTAGTTTTGATGTTGAGACAAAAGAAACCACCTTAGTTTTAATTTGATTTAGTTTGTGGTATGGCTGCTTGGCTTGGCTGGCATGATGGGTGAAGCAGATACTGGAATAAGCCCCCAGGGTGAGCAAGAAGGTGATCTACTCCTTTGGGTAAGATTGATGGTTTGCATGGAACTATATGGAACTATATATGGAACTATAGTAAAAGTATTTCTGGAATATGCTAGCTATGTTCATATTTTTATTCCAGGCTTTAGAAGTTTCTTTGCATCCACTGCTGTATACATTATTCCTTTTCTTGAACTCTTTTCCACTGAGTTCAGGTCCTTCTGTTCTGTACAGGTCTTTTTGTTGCCTGTGCCCATTGTTGCTGGAGTCAACTGTCACTGATCCCTAGATTTGAAGGATTGTTTTGGCTGTCATGTCAGAAGAGTTATGAGGGAATAAGAATATTCCTGCAGCATTATTGTTCTGGGTGCCTGGGCTATAGGGGAGGGTATAGCTGGGATATAAATAATGCCTGTAGTTATGGGACGTGGTGCTTTAGTCTCTTGGTTTTTAAAATTAACTTCTTGGCATGTTCAAGAGCAGGGTTAGATCTTTCTTAACTTCCTTGTGGATTTCTATTACTTGTTATAGAAACAATGGATTGAGGGGTTGTGGTAGTTTCTTATTGATGGGTGGGGCTGGTGTTTCACAGCCAAATTCTGATAATCATTTAACAATTTGGAACAAAGATCATTACTAATGAAGCCACATAGGCAAAAGACTTTGGATTATTTTCTGTCTGAAATTCAACTCTCAGAGCTAGCAAGAACCCTTGTACAGAAATTGCTTCCATGTTTTTAGTTTTGAAGTTATTCTTGTCAACAGAGGCAATCAATTGAGATTATGTTCTTGGAGAGGTGAAGGTAGGATTTAAAATGAGATGAAAAATCAAGCTGTGGAATGCACCAGAGTGTTTCCTGTCAGGCTACATTCAGCAAAGAAAGGCTGAAGAAAGCTCTTGTCATAAAATATCTTAGGTTTAAAAGAGAGAAACTGAATATCCTGGTCCTTGTTAAAAAGTTTGGGTTTTTCTGAGGAGAAAAGTTTGGCCTGTTCCTGTTCTTTTTCTTGCTGTCTTAAAAAGATATGGAGAGTAAGAATTTCCTCAAATTAATTATAGATTGTCTGGTTCTGGAGGGAGGCCAAAAGTGCTTGTTAAATACCAATTTTATATTTCCCTATTCTTAGGTTGCTATCAACTTAGCTATACATTGAACTTAACTTCCTCTTTTTTCCCTCTGAGTGGCATCATTCAGACTCTAGAGAAATGAGCATTGGATAGTAGTGGACCTAACTGGGTACTAAAATAAAGGAATTCTCTCAGAAATAAAATGGAACCATATTGTCCATCCTACTCAAGAAAAGATAATTGGACAAAAATAGGAATGAAATGCGTGGGTTTAGCTGTCACTCTTTCATAGTAATGGACTTGAAAATGTACTAAAAGGGATTAAAAAGAAAAGTGAAAGTAAATTTTGTATGCTAGGGAAAAGTAGTATTTGATACATAGTGACACTGAGATATTTTATGTCCTCTCCTCGTTTAAGCTCACAAAAATATTTCCAGCATTGTAAAACTTCCCTTTCAGAGATGTATGATATATTAGTTCTTGATTGTATCTTGTATAAAAGAGTCTTCCTCTCATCTATTGCTTTCTGAATGCTTTTATTGGTCTCTTGCCATGTCAGAAAATGTTTGTTCAGTTGAATGAAATATAGTTCTATAAATTGCTATGGTTATAGTATAAAGTTAGAAGTCTGACAAAGTTAGTGAATATCTTTACTTTTAATCTCTTCTGTCTTTTCCCTTTTTTTAATCCCACGAAGAACCCATGTCAGTGCAATGAAGTTTCCCTCCTATTCAGGTGGCCCTTGTTGAGCTGTGGGTGCTGGAGCCAGGTGTAGTGCACAGTGTAAAGGTTTTGCCAGGGGCTGCCATAGAGACTGCCTGTAAACCTTTTAAAAGTACATGATAACTCTTCTCCTTTGCTTGGGAAGGGGTTTCTCTATCACACTTGAGCTTCATGGATTGCTGGACACATTTTTCATCTGCAGCACTTCTTGTGCTCTGTACTATCTTAACAGTGTTCCTGGAGTCCTGGCTTGCCAAATTATTCAGTTTACTATAATAAGCTTTCTACTCCATCATTTATTATTATTGATACTCATGGTAATTCACCTTCCTCTCCCACATGATTTCAGTTCAATTGGTTTATAGATTAAGAGTTTTCCTCATCAAAAATTATGTCCCCTTCCTGTTGAGTTTCCTTGGTAGCTATTTTAGTGTTGAGTCATGATACACAGTTCTGTTCTTGACTGCTAACATTTCATTAGTACTTAATTCATTTTAAATGATCCTTGTAGCTTTTATACTGTTGTAAATTTGATACCATTCTACTTCTCAGCTGGAGAGATGTGTAAAACTGGGTGAAAGAAGAAAAGATGACAAAGGAAACTAGAATAAAAGGTGGTTTGTCCTTAATGCCCTGCTATCACAGTTTGACACAAACCAAGTCAGATACAGTTGTTTGATTTTGTCACAGCCCAGCTCCTCAGCCCAGCTGGCTTTTGTATGTCACATGTCACCAAAGCTGTGGCCTTCAAGTTGTAGTTCAAGAATTGAGCTAATTGTAGCTCAGTGCTACATCATCTGTCCTGCTCCAAGGTCTCTAATCTGATTTATGGCATCCCTTTGGTAGAGGTGGGTTCATGTTGAGAAGTGCAAGGTTCAGTAACCTCCCCAAAAATTCATTAGTCTTAATTATGATCTTAATATCCAATCTCCTTTTCAGTTTATTTTTATGTTAGTAATGAACTTCTCACAGTTTAGGAGCTGATTCTTCCTCTGTAAAATGACAGGAAGAAGAAATGTTCCTGAGCTAGACAATTAATGCTGTTTGATAATTCTTGTACTTAAAGTGATCAGTTCTTTATCAGGGGCTTTTCCAGGACAAGAAGTCTCTATTGTCTTAATTTTTTCTTCTTAACAGTTTTCTTTCATATTTAAAAGAAGTACCACCTTCATTGGAGTGAATTTTAACTTCTTGCTGGTAAATACTAAATTAAGTTACTGAAATGCTTATTGCTTTTGCTGCCTTTTGAAACTCTTGTTTAGTTTAACAAAATGCTGTAATTGTATTCCTAAATTAATAGAAGGATGGAAAAACAAAGGAAAGGTAGTGCAGTCATTTGATAGCATGAGCACTGTTGAAGCTGAATAATGCAGAGAATGTAGGTAAGTGATGTCTGTCCCTGAAAACAGAGTTTAAGGTACTCCTGATGTCTGATGAAAGCCTCCAGATGGGACAAATGGGCCAGCCCTGCATCCCAGAAGGAGGTTTTAGGGCAGAATAGAAAATGGGCAGTGTAAAAACACTTGGTGAGCAGCCATCATCACCCTTATCCAGTAGTGACCCAGGGATGTGTTCACAGGGGTATTTTACAGCTTTTTGAATTTTTTTTAGCACAACACTTACTCTTTGACATGGTTGCAAATACACTGTTTCTTCACTTGATAAGAATTGATTTTGTGAGTTTCAGAACTATCAAAATGTTCTAAATGCCAAAAGCTGGCAATTCAAAGGAGTATGGAGCTATTGTTCTTCAAAGATGCACATTCCAGAGCTTATTTTTGATCAAACTTGCTCTAGTGTGTTTCTTAAAGTCTGTTTTATTTTACCATGCAGCAATTTTTTGTCTGATAAGAGGTTACTATAGTTAGAGCCATAATGAAATCTTACCTTACTGTTTTCAAATGCAGCAGAGTACATTCAGTTCTGATGCTGATTCTCTTGGACAAATTAAATTTTCACTTCTGCAGGGTTGTAAATTGAACTACATAATCGATTTTTTTAAAAATCAAACTTTTTCATTCACTGTTACCTGAGGAACGTGACTTGAATAACACGTGAGAAAGCTTTTGATTGTTGTTTTTCTTCCCCCTGGGAAAAAAGACTTCTTGTTTTGTTCCAGGTGGTTTGTTGCATCAAAATCTTGGAATGATGAGTAATATGTTCAGTCTGAGAGTTAATCTTTGGAGAAAAAAGTTAATTCTGGGGCCAGTGATCCAGCTGATCACACAAGGACAAGCAGAGAACAAGGAACAAGCCACAAGAGCAGATTGCTGTGCAGGGAGAGCCAGCAGCCTCCTGGGCTGCATTCAGAGTGGTGCAAGTGTTCAGGAAACCACACCTGCATACTGGTGAATGCTAACAAATGCTTTCTTTTCCAAGTGCAGGCTGCAGTCCTCAGGTGCACACCTGACTGGTGCATTCCTCCCACTCTAAATCCAGTGTGGCAGTGTGACACCATCCAGAGCTCAGCTGGAGGCAAGCCGTCCTGCTGAAATCTGTCTGTGATTTATTCTTTTTCTCAGTGGCAAACACTGACAGTCTGCTGGTGGGTTTGAGGGGCTCTGTGCATTGTCTGATCTGGTGTTTAGGCTGACCCCAGGAAATAGCAATCCCAGGGAGGACAAAGAGGGGGAATGTGGAGGACCTCTGAACCCCCATAAATTTGTGATTGTAGACAGTCAAGTTGTGAAAGGATTTCAGAGAATGACAGCTCGAGTGCCTTGAAGATTCTGATGATGAGTTGCTTCTAAGTAGATAGGGAGCAACTTAAAACCTTTGAATCCACAGTGAAGAAAATAATTGTGAGGATTTCCCTCTGCTGATGATTTGGAAAAAAGCCCAAAACCCCAAACAACAAACAAGTTAGGAAGCTGTTTAAATTTTACTTTTGATTTTTTTTTGTCTAGGCCAGAAAGCTGCTGTTCCATTGATTGTTCAATTTTGTCTTAGCACTCATAAGACAAGTATGTACCATTCACACTAGGGTACCTCACTGCTGCAGGGTTTGGGTGCTGCTGTGCAGGCAGGTGCCTGTGGGCATATTCAGAAGATCTATGTGGTATTTCAAAAGAATCAGACTGTTAACATTTTGAAGGAGTTTGAAAAATCTGTATCTTGTGCTGGAAGTGACAAGCAGACTGACACTGCAGCAGAAGACCCAGTGCTTGCAGAGATCAGCTGGAGTATGGTCTGTGTAGCAGCTTCTTCTGCTGGAGCCTCTGACAGCCAGGCTGCTCAGGCTTTCAGCAGGTACTAGAAATGAAAGATAGGAGTGTCTTTCAATGGTAGGCAGAAAGTTGGAAGAGTTTGGCTGTCAGGTGTGGCTGAGTTGGCCAAGGCAAGCTGGCTGAGAGGAGTTCTTTAGCACAGGTATGTGCAGCTCCCTGATTTCTCAGGTGCAAATGCCAGGCCTGAGATTCACACCACGTTATAACTAATGCAGCAGGCTTTGGTTTGAGCTCCTGTTCATGTGCTCCATTTAAGAAATAATAGGATTTATTCTGGCTCAGAGGTCTGCTTACACCTGAAAGCAGCATCCTTGGAGATATTTAGGTACCACTCCTTTGTGTTTTGTGTCAGTTTCTTTTCCAGTTTCAGGATCTGTCAGAGCTCCTGGGCTTTAAAATAAACTCGCTTATGAGCAGGTTGCAACACAGTATAACCCCTCCCTCCCCCCCAAAAAATTACAAGATGTATTTCAAAATTAATTTTCCTAAATCCTTGGTGATGTAGGTTTTTTTGGCAGTCATGTATCTTGGATGATTATGTAAGGCTTATTTTAAAGCAGAGCATGCACCAATACAGTGATTTGAGAGCACGTGGAGGTGGCTGCACTAACACCTGCTTGCTCTAAAAGGAGGTCTCTAGAGGCTGATGTTGCTGACAGAACTTTTTTTTCCTGGCCTGGGGTTTCTGGTGGGCTGTCTGGTTTTTTCCCTCACCCTGCCCTGCAAGGGTTGGAGGTAAGTTTGGAGCTGGACTGAAGAATCCAGTGCTGCAGCAGCTCTCTCCACAAACGCAGAAGGTAGGAAATCAGCACAGCAGAGAACTGCAGGAGTCTTCCCTTAATGAAGTGCAAACCATTATCCACTGGAAGAACAGCTTTAAATATAGCTAAATATTGAATAAATTATTTTGAAACACTTTACTGTAAATAATTAGAAAATGTGCCCATATTCATTTGGCACTTTTTCGAGGCAATTAATGATCTTTGTTGCTTACTCACTTAGGCAATTTAACTTTGGCAATTTACTTGCCTTTATTCATTCTTGCTTTACATCTGGGAATATAATAACTTGAATGACTTTGTTTCAAAATCTATTTCTAAATTAATACTTCTGTTGATTTAATATTAATTTCATATTGGCTCTTCTCTGATTCATTGCTACTTTTAAAATGAAGCACTCTGTAGTTAGTGCTTTTCTTAAGAGAGACTTGACAAGCACTCTGTCATGATGCTGGCAAGCCTTCAGCCTCCAGTTCTCATTTCATGTGTCTGTCAGGGCTCTAAAATACTGTATTTCCAGAAGATCATGCTGAAACATTCGGTGTTACCTATGCAGCTTGCCCTGGGTCAAGTTTTGGAATAGTATGCAGCAAAGAACTCATAATCGAAATTTTAGGAAATGCTGCCTAGCCCTGTTGGAGTAGTGCATTTGTAATGAAGCAGTACAACTCCACTGATGGAGCAGACAGCAAGAAAACACTGTCTGCTTGTTAAAATAATTGATAGATAGATGTGACAGCATTGCTGTAATTTTCACACTTAATTAAATTAAATGCAAATGAAATGAAATTAAGTGCAGGTAGAAACTCGCAAGCCGGTCCTTGCATGCACATTCCAGCTGGAGTCAGGAACTGTGGCTCAGGGTGCTGCTCAGACCCAGGGCTGCAGATTTCTTCAGGTGTGTGGTAGGTCTGTAAAAGCAGAGTGGCCACTCTGGGCAAGGCCACACTCTAGCCCAACTTCTTGTCCATGACTCCAGGTGGAGTGAGAACACAGCAAGCAGCCCTCACACTTCTCCCACATATTCTCCAAGTTTCTGGCAGTTTCCTGTGTGGTGGGTTTCCCAAGCCAGGTTGGGATTTCTGCCTGGTTAGTTAACCCTCCATGGTTATTCAGTTCCCTCTTGATCCAAGCTTCTGGCATCTTTGACACCCTTTAGCAAGAGATTCCCAAAACTTTTTTTCCCTCTCTGCACAGAGAATCATTTTCCTGTTTGCTATGAAAACTTTTCCTCTTGGCTGAATTTTGAGTGTCTGTCCTTGTATAGGGAAAGATGGTGAACAGTCAATCCCCATACATGTTCTTGGTGCTGACAATGTTCTTGTCAACCTTTGTTACATTTCTTTTGTAGCTTTCTCAGCTGCCGGCTTGAAGAGTATTGTACTTTGTACTAAAAGCTAACACTTCTACATGCTCTTGCCCATGGGTGGCTGTTTGTGATAGTCAGCTTTTTAAATCCTTGAGATACTGCCTGGTGTGGTGTGAGCATGTTGTACTGGTGTGTCAGGCAGTAAGTGAGCATTACTCTGCTGGCCTGGGTACAATGTGACCTCAAACACAGGACAGCTCCAGAACAGAGAGAAAATTCACAGGCTAAACTCCAAGTGCCATCTTGGCAATGTGGCCTTCCTTCTTGGTTTGCTCTACAGATCTGCTGCTCTCCTCTTAGCAAACCCGGGAATTGAAGACAAGCCAGAGAGGGGCCATTGATTTATGACCTGGACTGTTGCTGGTTATAACTTACATTCAGATTTTAATAGAGTCATGGAATATTCTTAGTTGGGAGGGACCCACAGATTTGATTCTCTTTACTCATCTTAATAGCAAATTTTCACCTCCTTTGATCCTTTTTTCAGTTTCTAAGTGAGCTGAGCAGCATATGAGCATATGGGTCAGCCTCTCCTGGAACCTTGTGGGTGCAGTATCTTCCCCACTGTGAAATCTGACCAGCTTCTGTTCCTTGCTTTCTTACCCTGAGCACACCCTGAAGGTGATGCTTTTCCTCTTCATCCTGCAACTCACATTTTTAAGAGCCTTTGAGGGATCTGAATGGCTGCTGCTCCATCAGTGATCTTTTAGAAAGGCCCAGGTGCACATGTGCTTGAAGTGCAGACCCAGAAGCTTGGATGTTTATTTTGGGATTTTTCCTTTTGGTGAATGGGGGGAAGCACCTGACCTTGGGGCCAAGATGTCTGTGACTGTACTCAAACCTGGTGAGTGAACTTGTTCTGTGTACCACAGTATCTAAGAAAAACAGAAATAACCATGATATAAAATCTAGGTCCAGCTGAAGTTTGTAAGGGTGTTTCTATGCCCTGTAATGAAATCTGGATTTGATTTTTGATGGTCTTATTTGTGCCTCATACCTCAGGAAGTGATATAAAAATTGCATAACTCTCAAATAAGTGATGTGAAATTTTCTTTTTGTTCCTAGAGAGCAAATCCAAAGGCCTCCAGTGGGTGATAGATACAACCATTGCATATCCCAAAGGTGAACCTATAGACATCCAGACCTGGATTCTTGGCTACCGACAACCAGCAGTGACACACGTACATTACAGGTGGGAAATGAGGCTGCTCCTCCTGCACTGAGCTCAAGGATTCACAAATCCCTTGTGGCATTTCAGGATAGGGGAAATCAGGAGCAGTGGGAGTGGGATTTTTGTGTGGGCAGCTCATATTATTTAAACACAATACATCTTTTTTTTTAAAGTTTAGTGACTATTCTGTATCTTAGGACAGATATTTAAGTTTTGGACTAATGTCCTGTGGTTGAATAGAGTTGTGGGGAATATATCTAAAGGCTAGGTCATCTTTAGTGATAAGGTGCTGCTAAACCCTACTTTTTAAAATTTTGTTTTTAGTAATGACAGCTAATTAAAAATCACTGTTGTTAAGTAAACAGATTTCCTAATAAAATATTCTATTTAACTTTCTCACAAAGAAATGCCAGCTTTTTCACTCAAAGAATAATTTTAGTAGTTGAGAATGATTTTTTCACTCAAAGAATGAGAATGATTTTTTTCACTCAAAGAATGATTTTAGTAATTGAGCAAAGCAACTGGAAAAAACAGCTTGAAAAGGTTGCAACTCTCATTGACAGCTGGGATGGGAGACTATTAAAACTTTTCTCCTCAGCAGTTCTTTGTCTCCAGACTTAAACTGATGGAGAGGAGTTGAATTTTGCTTTTAGTTTACAGTGAGTTCCAAGTCACTCCAGGAGTATTTTAACACTTCCTATACTAAGTAAGGTGTTGCATTTTATCCCAAAATCACATTATTTTGTCTTACTCCCTCTTGATGATTTGGAGAGCTTTTTTTACAGAAAGCTTTCAAGTATTCTTGTGTGGATCCCCTGGGTGGCAGTTTAAGTGGGAATGACCTTCTCCATCATCACAGCTGTGGCAGTGTTGTGTGATGCAGAGTACAGGAGCTGTGTTTAAATCTGTCCTTACTTTTTATAGAAAGCTGCCTTCCAAGTTTCCCTGAAGGTGAACATATTTACACCCTAATTTATGTAAGATAGCATTATATCTGTTGTCCTTTATTCAGGTCACCTTAGTACTCTCTCAGATCTCTGGGATAATTGCAAGTTGAATGTATTTAGAATTCTTCTGAAAAATATTTCCAAAAATATGTTCTTTTAAGTTAATGTAAGTTGAATTAATTTCCTGCTTCTAAATGTATATTCAGACCTATCTTTGATCACAAGCATAAATATGATGCAAACTTTTTTGCATTGAACTTGAATATTGAAGTTCTTGTAGTACTGAAATTCTAAGAAAAACATAATTTTTTTTTGTTTGGGTGGAAGTTTGTTATTTTCTTCCAGAGGGTCTAAGTCACTGGGTTAGGCAGGGGCAAGCCTCTCTGTTTGACTGCTTTCTGTATGTTTTTAATAACCTCTGTTTGGCATGGCTGACCCATAAGAACAGGTGAAGTGTGTCCCAGATGGAAAGCCATGCAGTATCTCTCCTTGGCAGAGCACAGGGTGTGATGGCTCTGAAAGGAGCCCAGAGTGTCTTGGGTTTGCCTGGAGCTCGTTCTGTCCTCCAGTCCTGGTAGTTCTTGGGGCACATGGCCCCTGCACTCTGAGGTGGGTGCAGGTGGGCACAGGTGGGCACATGGATGTCGTCTGAAATTTTCTTTAAATGTACATCTAGTCTGTCCTGCATTGGTGTTATACTTTCCAATAAAATCTTGCTTATTTTTTGTAATTTGGAATGTCTTGGGAGATAACATTTGAAATAAATTTTAAGGGTAATTTGGAAATAACTGGGAAGAGAGCACAATAGTTTCTCATGTAGTTTCTTGTAACTGAGTTATAGGGGGGGAAAAAGCACCCCTTTGGAATAAGTGAAGAATAGTTGTGTCCAAATGCCATCTGTGTTGTATGGAAGAAGAATCAGGATTTAAACATGCTTATTCCCTTTTAGAGTAGTCCAGAGTGAGAGGTATTGATGTCTGACAGCAGTGGGGAAAAAAGGAGCATTTTCTGTGCCACTCAAACTGGAGCAGAAGAGACTGCAGAGCTGCTTTTGTTCTGGTGGCTCAGTCAGTCCCTTCTGCTGTGCCCCTGGATCACCGCCTGTCTCTTTCTGCTTTACAGACTTTAAAATCTGGTGGTTGCCTTTTCTCATAGCCTGGGCCTTTGCTGCAGGATTATTTCTTTTTCATCCTGCTCAGGGAGCAACAGAAGAGAACACAGCAAGGAGCCTTATGTTATAATTTTTAGGTGCTTTTCCGGCTGGTGGAAATGGTTTGGTTTAATCCAGTAACCTTTTTTTTTGAAATCTCAGTTTTGATAATGAGTTGAACCTTGCTTTTCAAACTTCAATTTTCAGTATAAATGACACAAATTTCAGAAGTTCATAATTAGGCTAAGCTGTGGCCTGATTTTCCTGAGAATGTGAAAAGAAACCTCCCTAGAAAAAAGAACAGTTACCACTTTGGATCTAACAACACAAGGTGTGAGAACTTTACCCATCTATTGAACAGCTTTTTGACCCTGACTGACTTTTCTCATAACTTACTGGAAAGTGCTGCAAAACTTAGTTTGCTCTCTAAAATATAATACTCAAGAAAATATCTAATGAATTTTCTCCAGGCCAAATGGCACTGGGATTTTTGTGGGAGATGTCAATGCATGCAAAGCATGTCAAACTAGAGGCATCACTGTAAGACGTGCCTTGTAATGAGTCTGTTGGAAAGGTTTGCTTGCTCTTCTCACAGAGTTTAGGTTTATGCTTGGCTCATTGTGTGCTGTGTGTTGCCTGTAAATCCAGACTCACTGCAATTGCTCTCAGCAGAAATAAGCTGAGTGCTTTGGTGTCCATGTAGCAAGGTCACAGACTGGCTGCCCTTCTCAGCTCCCACCATTTCTGTGCCATGAGTCAAGTTTGGGGTTTATTTCTTTTCATTTCACACCAGGCTCTTGTTTAGTTTGATTGGCTTGGTGTTTCTTAGCTGAACACCAGCTTTCTCCAGCAATGATTTCTTGTGTGCTGCAGTTCTGTTGGCAGAACCTGAGACCTGCAAATATAAACCCCCTGGCTGTGAAGCTGGCTCGATGCTCAGCGTCCCCTCGGCCAGGGATGGTGTGAGGCTGGTTTTTGCCTTGGTTTCCTGCAGGGTGGTGCCCTTGGCTGCTCCCCTGCCACGTTTGGGCTGTGTGACAGTGGCTGTGTGCAGCAGCCCTGACGTCAGAGCCAGCCTGAGTCAGCTGTGACGCAGGGCTGGCTGTGCATGGTGGTGTCACACACGCTGCTCCACTCTGTCCCCTTTCCTCCCCTGCCAGCCTTTGTGCTGTGCCACTGCTGAAACAAGCTGTCAGCTGCTGAGCAAGTTCTATTTTTGTGTCTGCATTGATACAGAGCTATTGAAATAAGCCAGGCTCCAAGCTATAAATAAGATGAAGTGCATTGTGGTTGCTGAATGAATGTTGCAGAAGGGCATCCCGTTTGGCAGTGTATTTTAATGCACTTTTATACGCAAATAACTTATTTTTGGTCATGCCTGACATCTACCAACAGCCTCCACTGTCCTGGGTTTATTTAGAGCCATTGAAGCAGCAAATAATATCATACTTGTATGGAGTAGCAAGTAATACAGGACTTCAATTCAGGTAGGACAGGTGATAAAAGGCAGTTAGTACTTACAGTGGTAGCCATGAATTTCAGAATTTAAATACAGAATCAGAGGTTGTTTATCCAGTAAGGACAACTTAAAAGAGATAAATGTTTCTAAATATTTCTGAAAATCCTTTGATGTCTTCTGAGAAACAGCCTATCAGTAGCTAATTTTCCACAATTCTCACATATACCAGCATGTCTTTGGCAGTTAGATCTCCTGGTTTTTAAAATCCCTTTTTTCCCCCCTGGACTGTCATTTATTGTAATAGAATCTGGTTTGGGACATGGACACAAATGTGTGTAGCACTTTAAGAAGTGGCCATCCCTCAGTCAGGTACCCAGACTGTCCATGCAGCTGCTGCCACCTCCAGCTGCAGGGTGGTGCTTCATTACTGGAAAAAGTAATGAAGCAGATTCCCATTGAAATGTGTCTTTATTTCCACCACCACTTTTCACTTCCCAGGGTGCAGCCTATGCTGCCACTCCTTTAAGCCCCTTCTCCACTTTTCCTGGGGACAGAAAATCAGCTGTTCCTGTGATGAGGAGCAAAAAAAGGTATTTCCATTCTGCTTGAATTTTCTGGTCAAGTTCTTATCCAGTCCTATTAAATTCCTTGTTTGCCACACCAGGAATAAAGATGCTCTTATTTTAATGAATGTGAATTTGGTTTTGTCCAAAAGCTAGAAAGATCCAAGTGCCCCAGAGACTCCAGGAGCTCCAGATGTTACATGTTGATGTTATTCCTTGCCTTGGCAGTTCTGTGCAATGATATTTTATTCCCCTGAGGGGATGAGCAAACTGTTTGCTTCCAGTGGCATTCCTGATCCTGCATACCCAGAGGTGGGGTAGAGCCAAGCCAACACATGGACACCTGTTTACATATCTCACTGAAAATAGGGAACTTTCTTCTGCATCTTTTAACACTGGACCTGGCAGATGCCAGCATGCAGTGGGGGGGATGACCCTGCTCCTGTCAGAGCAGTGACTCTCTGCTGTTCTTTTGGATTGCCTGTGTGGGGAGTTCTGTAACAGTAGGCTTGCTCACTCACCTTCCTGAACCCAGTCTCCTTCAAGAGAGTGTTCTTGTAAGACACAGATGCCAGCTGAGCCATCTGATGGGCACAGAACCATGGCATTAGCAGTATGTTTAGTTTAAATATAGGGGGGTTTAGCTTTGCCTTATCGAGTACAAAAAGGGCTTCTTTCCAGAGTTTGAGGATTTTTTTTTAATATTTAATCTCTAATTTAGATCAGTCATTAGTAAGAATGTTCTGCTGGTAAAAATAACTCTGGATAATCTAAAAATACATTTGAAAATGCTTCTGAATACACCAGCACTTAACCATTGCTGAGTTGTGGCAGCCAGTGTAGCATTACTGGAAAGCCAGTTGTTTTTCAGTCTGTTAATGTTTGTTCAGTCTGGGTGTAGCAGTGGCTGCTTCTCAGACTTCAGAGCAGCAGAGTTTATCTCCAGAGATTGAAGCATTCTGGCAGCATTGTTGATCCACACAAGAGCCTGGATGGATTCAAGCAGGGAAGTGGTGTGCAGTGCTTCCATTAGTCTCTCACAGAGCTGCTATCACCTGTGCTACTGCACTGCTCCAGTAAAGTGCCAGCTCAGAAATTGTTGTAGCAGGTATCTTGCAAGATCCCTTGATGTTTCCAGATTAGGAGGAATGTTCTTGACAAAACAGAGTTGTTACCCATTAGGTCAGGGAGAAGTGAAGGCAGAAGTGGAGAATGTCTTACAGTCTACAGTGGAGACTGCATGTGAAGCCAGGTAACCCTACACTTCTGTCCTGGGGCAACACATGTTCTCTTAGTTGTGAGCCCTCTTAAAACCTGTGTAAGCAAGCATCTGTCCTTCAAAAATACTCTGTGAAACACAATATTCAGTTGCTGAGCCTTTTATCTCTTCACAGCAGCTTGGCAGAAGAGAGTAAAAGTAGTGCTTGGCAGCCCAGTTGTGTTTGGGGACACAGAGTAAGTCTTTCTTAGTGTTCTTAGCCCTCAACAAAATAGTTCTTACTCTGTGGGTGTGTTTTTTACTTGCTGCTAGATGGTTTAATTTTAACCTGCTGTACAGCATCTGGGCTTCAAGATAAAATAGTTCTTTATTGTTTGTCTTTGTTCCTAATATGCAGACTGAAAACTTGAGCTGATTACTGAAGCACCATTTCATAACATTTGTCTTTGGGCAAAGACTTTCCTTCAAACTCTGTTTTATCTGAGATAACAGTTGCTAATTTCTGGTTACCAAGACTGGCTTTACTGGAGCATAGAGAACTCCACAGTGCCAGGAGGGTGTAGGTAGAGTTACTCCAAAGGCTACAGAGATAGCTGAGTTCATGGTGATACCATAGTGTGTAAATAAAGTGGTTCATCTCCTTATATTGAAGTTGTCTTTGTATGCCAAAGCACTGTGGTTTGTAATTCACTCCTTAGAGCAATGCTTGCTGCTTGACTCCTCCCCTTCCAGCTTATTTTTCCATGCATCAGACTGAAAGGAGGAAGGACAGATGAACAAAGCTGGCAAAGATGTTGAAATTATAACAGCAACAAAAGCATTCTTCAGAAGTGCCTTATTTTCTTATTCTGAAATTCCCATATCTGTCCAGAGACTTCCCAGATGATTGTGGTGTTACTTCCAATTCTTTGCAGTATGATCAGTTGAGAGGGACTGTTGAAAATGAAATGGAAATTCACTAATGAAAATAGAAGCATGGTGTAAATGAGAAGCTCAGTGGAAAGAAAAACCTACAGTAAAGGCCTTGCATTTCAGAGTGTGAATTTTCCAGGTTACCCTGATACACAAATCTCTCCTGCTTTGGCCTGCCAGTACAGCACAGTGGATTGTAAGTTCTTGTATATATCAAAAGGCACTGAGGGTCTGCTGAGGAGGTTTCACACTTACTGTGAGATTGGAAATTCTATTTTGAAATAATCCAGTGAGGTGTGGTGGGTAATTTGGGAGTTTCAGGGTGTGTGTACCACAGTGAATTCTGCTCTAGGTGTCTGTTTTTCTAAGCCACCTAATAGTCACCATAGAAGTACCAAAACACTAGCAATTCTCTCATTGGTGTTTTTAAAACAGAACAGTAATATTTGAGTACAGGGTCAGTTTCAGTGTAAAATGTGCCTTGTGAATTTCAGAGAAAGCTGCCAGCATCCTTTGAAAAGCACAGAGGGCTTGTTTTCTGGGATGTGGCAGAGCTGTTGGTGCTTAGTGATGTCATTGTGTGACTTCTGTCTGCTCAATTGTTTCTTCAAAGCTGTGAATTAACTTTCTCATTTTTTTATTTCTTTCATTCCACTTGGTTTGTATTCTTCTTAGGGAATAGTAACACAGTGTGGTGGTATTCTCTTAAAAAAAGAACAAACCAGTGCCTTAGGAGTTGTTTTCAAAAGCTGTAGTACAGCATTTGGTGGAGACTGATGCCAGTGTCTTCTGTGTGGTTCTGGATGGCAGCCTGGAGTTTCCCACTCTTGTACCCTTCATGCCTCTGTGATCTGAGTTGGAGAGAGTGCAAATCATGCAGTTGGATTTATACAAAAGTCTTGTTCTCTCTGGTTTGTGGTGGGCTGGGGCAGAAGAGTTTTGTTCTCCACATGCAGAATACATTTGCTAGGTTTAATTGTGTTTGTTTCTTTGATAGGATTTTTCCAGTGAAGGATGTCCCTGCAGAGCCTGAAGCTCTCACAAACTGGCTGTATCAACGATTCATTGAAAAGGAGAACCTCTTGACACATTTCTATGAAACAGGTAGGATGCTACCTAGCAGAGAGAACGGTGCTTTGCTAATGGCTTTCCTTACAAGGATCTCAAAATCGTTTAGGAATGTGTAAGCATCTTTCACATTCATACAGTAGATACAATTATTGCTATCATTACTGCTTTTTATGTGGCAAAAAGTATGATTAAAGAATTATCTAGGAAAGGTAAATTACCTGGGCAACACTAGAAGTAGGGTAGCATTTGGGAGCTGTAAAAAAAGTAACACACAGCTCAGCTGTGAAACGTGCTGCTCTGGGACTTCATGGCAAAGCTCCATGATTGAAGTATGATGGGAAGGGCCTGTGAGAATTACATGGCACACATTCTGGAGCTGTGATCTGCAGCCCTGTGCATCACAGTTGTTGATGGGTATTGGAATATGAATCCCAATATTATCAGTTAGATGGTGCCTGGGCCAGTCTGACCCTCGCTGCTGGGCCAAAGGCAGCAACTGTGGTGTAAATCACCCCAGAGATACCTTGGCTGCTGGAGATTGCAGCTGGGCACTGAGCAAGTCCAGGCTTGTCAGGAACTCCGTTTACCTCAGGAGAGAGAGCTTCTGGCGATGGTGAAGAGAAAAGGAGAGGATTCCGCTGGAAGGTTTAATGTCCAGAAGTTTATTCCATGGTTACAGAGGTCTGGACGGGAGCAGCTGCTCCAGCAGAAGAACGAGCACATGGCCTGATCACTTTTTTAAGCTCCTGGGGCAGGGGGAGTGGGGGGGACAGGTGATCACCAACCAGGTGAAAGGGGCGGGGTCTCAAGGGACGAGGGACACCTAGACAGGCCAATGACCCCTGGGCATAGGGGCATCTTTTGAACTTGACCAATCACAGGATGCCTTGCTGGAATGTTAAGCCTGATTGACACAACACACTAAGCAAGGGGGCGAGGGGGAAGGGAGAGGCATATAGGCACACCTGGGAAAGGGACCCAGAAGCTTAAGACACACCGCAACAGATGGGAAGTGTTCAGTGTCTCAAATCAGCTGAGTTTAGTATTCCTGGGTGACTGTGTTAAATGAAGATGCTTCTTCTGTAGGTGATTTATTGCAAAGTCTGCTTTAATTTAGTTTTGAGTACCTAATTTATCAATCCAAGTGCTTAAAGAGATTAATAGAATTCTTTAACAACCCACAGTTGTATTCTGTTTTATGAAATGTTGCTGTCACTCAGCCACCATTGATGGCAGAGTTCAGACTCTGCTATATACATCACATCCAAATGTATATATTGGACTTTATTAGACAAAAAACTTTGTGAATATATTTTAAAATACATGTGTAGCAAATATATTGTAAAGAATTCTTGTTTTTGTGACATTATTTTATGCTATTGAAATAAGTCATACCCAGAAAATCTAACTAGTCCAGAATTTCTGAGAGTATAATTAATATAATCAGGTTTATTCATTAAAATGCACTTCCAAAATAGCATAATTGGTAATAATTTGCCAGTGCAATCAGTATGAATTAATAAAGACATGTTTTAAATGTAAATGCTGTGACACAGGACCTTATTAGGCATAAATTAGTATAATTTAGAGTTACTGCCATTTATACTTTTTGAGAACTTGCTTGCATTGCTTTAGTTGGCCTGTTGAAAAAGTGTTGCTGCAGTTTTTGGGAACCCCTTGGAAAGGTTTTGAGGTTGACTCTGAGAGGAGCCCCTGAGGCTGCTCAAGAGCCAGCTTTGTACTCACCTGCCACATGGTCACAGGAGGGGGTGGTTTTAAGACTTAGGGCTGTTTCTGTTAGAATCAATCATTATTATTGTTATCATTATCATCATTATATTATTCTACAATACACACTGCTTGGGAACTACTCTCTCTTAATAAAGCTTACTTCAAAAAGCTGGAGTAACATTTAATGCTGCATGAAACTTTAAAAGGTTGCATTGACTAAGCCAAGAATTCATTTCTTGGCTTATTTTTATTTGGGAAGAGAAAGAAACAAAGCCCAGAGCACCTTTCTCCATTTTGCTGTATTCTTAAATGTCAAGAACTTAGATCATCTGTAATATTAGACCTCTGGAAATCCAAACCAAAAGAAAAGTATGCCTAAAATTTGATATGAAGCTAATCCCATAATTTTTTACAGGTGCATTTTGCACATTTCATTTATAAAATTAGAACCATTTCAAGTTAATAGCTGCAGGTAACAGACTCCTGGTTTAGGCAGTTAGTGGAAAACTTATATTGGCAAGTTCTTGATTTCTCTGAACTCTTCAGCAAGACAGCCTTGAAGCCTGCAGTAACACAAGTGAGATTTCATTTAGCTGGACAAAAACCCTTGGGGACCAATTAAGGAAAAAACTCCAACCTTAAACTAGGAGCAGTTGGAAAAGAGTGATGATGTACTGAAATCATTGTGCTGCTCCTTCCCTGTGCTCGGAAGCCAAGTGGTGTGAGGTGATGAAAAGAGTAAGGAATGGCTTCCCTAATGCTATGGAACACTCCTTGTTGTGCCAGATTGGAAACCTCCTCTGGAAATCTGCATACTGTCCATTCTCCCTGTCAGGGAATACAGATGGAACTGGGAAAAGGGACAGCTAATCAGAGCTGAGATTAAGGGAAGGTGGAGTTGTTTCTGTGAAGGACAACTAAAAGTACTTGGCTTGTCTCAGCTGGGAAAGGGAAGGGGCAGAGCTGGCTTGGGAGGGAGAGGGGGAGACAGCTCTCTGTACCTACCAGGGAAAAAGAAAAGGTATTTAAAGCAGAGGTCAGTGTTGGTACAGAAAAACAAATGGGCCATTGAAGAACAAATCTAGCCTAGAGTGGACAGATAGAAGCTTAGCTGTGAGTTACTGGGGAATAATGATGTAGCAGATCTGCCCAAGTGTGAAATACCTGTCAGGGAGAGGTGGATGGGGCTCATCAAGGATGCTTTTAGGCTTTTTCCTTGTTTATTTTTTTTTTTTAATTAAGAGCATTCATGCAGGAAGAAAAGCTTTGTCTCAAATGCTTGATTGCAGTTCCTCCAGTGATTGCAAATGTGAAGCACAGAGATAAGCTGCTGATGGTATCTAATTGCCCAAATTGTGTGGTTCCCAAGATTGAAAATTGACATTGCTGCATCTTTACTCTTTGAATCATTAATTTCATTTTCTTCTGAGAGAAGTTGAGACTCCATAATGCTGCAGCAAGTACATCATCTTCTCTGGTGTAATTCAGAGTTCTCTATCCCCTGTTCGGGATTAACAGCAGTAAAAGTGCTTTGTGTCATCAATTCTTTGTGCATCTGAGTACAGTGTAACACAGATGATTTAATATGCTGATGTAAATATATGCAGATAGTTTGCTTACAGTCATAAAGCTCTGATGTATTCAGGCACATTTAATTTAGTGTTGCAAGTGAGAAAAAGTCAAAGTATGGAAAAAACAAATTTTACTGTCAGATGAATCTCTTCCAGTCTTTCCCATCTAAGCAAGGATTTCAGTAAAGAATTTCTGGAAAGCTCCATGGCAAATGCTAATGTTTCCTTAGTCAGTATGACTGAGTGTTCAAACAATATGTGGGAACTGTTCTTTAAAGAAGGGTTGTTGTGTGTGTATTTACATTTTCAAGAGGAACCTCAAGAACATATGTGTGTTGCTTCTTCACAGTATACAGTATCACCACCAAACAGCTGTAGAGTTTAATATGGAATCCATTCAGTTTGATCATGGAGGTACTAATAAAACTTCAAAAATAACACAAAACTTAGTTGACAGTTGGATTTCTCTGCAAAGGTTGAGTACAGTGATAGCAGCTTCTGAGGAATGCTTTCAAGTTTGCTTAAAGTTTATAAGGAAATCAAAATTACTCTTATTAATTAAGGGATTGTGTTCTGGTTTGGGGATTTTTATTTTCTTGAAGGCTTCTGGAGAATCTTTCATAAATTTGATGGCATTAGAGCATAGAGCAGTACCCAGTTAATTGTGTGTGGGCACCATTGCTGGGACAAGCAGTAGAGAAGCTATAAAGTGCATTAAGGCTGTCATCCCTGTGCAAAGCATTAAATGTGTTTTCTTTTCTCTTGCAGGAGCTTTTCCACCACCCCAGGGTCAGACAAAAGCGATTTCTCGGGAGATGACCCTCAGTAACCTGTGGCTGGTTGCCATACAATCATTTGCATTTTTGTCAGGAGGGATGTGGTACTGCCTCTTTCAGTATTTGTACCATTGCCTATTTTAAAAGTGGAATGGGACCTGAGGACACAATGGGAATCCAGGCTCTTGCAAATGAGTATCATATTGTATGTGCAAATGTGAATATTCAAGAGTAAAGGAAAATACTGGATGGACTTTTACCTCTCTTTGGGGGAATTTTAAACTCCACTAAAAGTGAAGATCAGTAACCTAGTGACCTGATGATGTATTATTTTAAGAATTGTCTGTATTTTTAAAAATGTATACTCTCACCCACACTTAAGCAAATTCAGCATTTGGACAAAAGGTGCAATCGTACAACCACCGTAGAAGAATGTCTGTGACAAGAAAGCTTTGTCACCACAAGTATTTCTTGGCATTGTAGTTAGAGCTCAGAAAATTCAGCAACTTGTCTCTTCAGTAGTGTGTACAGCATTGGTGTGGTAGAGATTCCTCATTTGCACAACGTGTACTTTACTGCAGCTCACTGTGCTGGAGTCAGAATCCTCAGCAGAGCTGTGGAGGTGTCCTTGTGGCTACGCAGTCAGCAGTTGTTGTAGCAGACACATCGATCTGAGCCCAACACCCAAATAAGATCTGGTGTCAGGTCTGTCCTCTGAGGCCCTGGTCCTCACACAAGCATTGCAGCATCACAGTGTGATTAAAAGCTGTCCACGTGGGATGAATCAGCCCATCCCTGCTGTGGTCTTGCCATCAGCTCTCTGAGTTCCATGTGCTACCAGTGTCTCGTGTTATAGGGAAGCTTGGAAAATACAAAGTCACTCGGTTCAATTCCCTTTTTGCTCAGAATGCAGCTAAACCCTCACCATCAGTTTTGAAAATGCACTTTCCAAGGTGAAAAGTCAGTGAAGGAAAGACATAAAACGTAGGGAACAGAGGGAAGCTTTGTTTGTCACACATTGGAAGGCAGAGCAATTCTAGCTGTTTCTGAAGGTCTGCTGGTGCTGCTGGTGATTTTTAGCCACATTTGTATTTTGTATACTGCAGTCCAACCAAGGTGACCTTGGAGTGGTTTATTGAGGCCTTTTTCTCCCCGCTAGTTGCAACAGTGCTAAACATACTTGTGGGAGAGTTTCAATAATTAAATGCCAACCATCTTAATGTTTTGCTAAGGAGAAATAGAAGAAAAACTAGTTTCATAAAAAGAAAAAAAAAGGTAAAATTGCTATCATAAATCTGTAGGAAGATACTACTGAAAAAATAAGTATGGTAAATATTCTGAATAACTACATGGAGGGCAGTATTAATTAGCTCACCACTAAAATCTTACTGGAATAAGGAGGGGTTGAACTGGAGGGCAGATGGGAACAGAGGACACTTTCAGATGTGTAGTGCAGGATCCTTTTGAAAGGATGTCAGTGATGTACAGCCTTACTTCTGGCAGGTCTGGTTGGCATTGTGTTTATGTGATTATGCACAGATTTGCGAGAACGGTTCCTAAAATAAAACTAATCTCTCTAAATACAGGCAGGGTAGCCAGAACTTCAGATGTTGGCATGCTGCCTTCTACAGAGTAATTTTGTTGAGAACAAAGTAAGCCCTCAGTAGTTTTGGCTCTGAGCTAGCAATATTGATTCCCCTTCTGTCTCCCTCTGCTGCTACATGAATCACAGGAGGTGGTGTGCAGAATACAAAACCTTGCCAGTGTTCTCTTTCTGTGGGGGGGGCAAAGAGCATACCAAAACACGAGGCAGTGCCAATTTCCCCTGGCTTTGTGGAAAAATACTTTGTCAAATATGCCATCCCTGCCCCTCCCCATGCAGCAGTGGTTGCTCAGTGGGGATGGATGCAAAATGACACCACAGTAAGGTCCCCTGAAGTGGGTGTTCCCTGCCTGACTCCACAGGAGGCTGGAGGAAAAGTACAGTGGTTGCCAATAGCTTGATGTTTGAGGCAGGATGCTGTTTATAAATAGCATCTCTGCACCTGAATTCTGGTGTAACCATTAAAAAGAGGTAGCTGTGCCATGATAGGGAAGGGAGTCTGTGGAGTTTTGTTGTTTCATGTTGTTCTTGCTGAAGTTCAGCTGATGGAATGAATGTATTTAATCTGCCATTTGACAGGGGGCTGTTGGGGCAGCCCAGCACTGCTGTGTGTAAGTGGTTGTTTCTGCTGCCCATGGGACTGACTCTTTCAACTCCAAAAGGCAGGTGGCAAGCTACTTGCTGTCCTCCCCCATGTAGTTCGATCAGAGCCACAGAGATGCCCAGAGTACAGCTCATTTTATTTTGAGCTAGGACAGACTGGACTGATGCAAAAAGGGAAGTTTATATAAGCAGAATGCACAGCAGTTACTCCCATCAGGAGATTGTTCCTTACAGACCCTGTGAACTCCATGTAAGAGCATCTTGTTTTGTCAAATGCAGTATTTTTATTTTCCCAGTGGGTTGCAGTCAATAGCAAGTGTTCCTGTGCTGCCTCAAGAAATGAGCACTGCACAGTTGTGTTTCAGACAAGCGTTTGATTGATCTGGTCCTGTTCATTTTCACTTTGTTCCTCTGTAGTTCTTACTCTTACAAGAGGTTTGTTTCCAAGCACTGGTTGTTGTTTCAGTAGGGTGTGGAAACAGTGTCAGTCCCAGGCTTCTCTCCTGCCTGCACTGGAAATTGTGAAGAGCACCTGACACCACAGCTCTGTACGGCCAAGTTGTGGGTGACACCAGAATGAAACTGTGGGAAAGCAACACCAGAGGAGCCTCCCAGCATGATCCTGGATGCTGCTTCATGAAAGATAATAAATTGGATAAAATAAGTTTTGCTATGAAGGGAAGAATGTAAAATGGATGCAATATGTAGGAAATCCAGTGCTAAAAATACCGTGCTGGTCCAGACTGTCTGGATCTTAGCAGGTGAGTCTGTAAAACACAAATTTCTGTATTCTGCAGTTTGGTTCTACCTTCTGGCACTTGGCTGCAGTTCTGGGCATTTTGCTGCACCATCCATGGGTTGCCTCCTCTGGAGAGTTCAAAATGTGTTTTGCTAGAAACATGAATGAGCTGAACAGTTGATCACAAATTAATATCACATTGAATTTGTTTTAGGGGAAAAATAATGGAAAAATGTGTAAAATTATCAAAAATGAAAAATTCACAGAAAAAATTCCAACTGAAAGCTGTTGCACACAGAAGTGAGAACAGAGCAATTTGAGTGCATTGCAGATAATAAGAATAAAGATGGTTCTGTGCCAGGGTTGCCCACAAAACATCTCCACGTTTCTATGTTTAATTGTTCATAAAGAAGTTGTTAGAGTTGAAGTTGTGTCAGTCCTCATGGTTTAGCTTTGCTGCTCTGTGAATCCCATGATGTGAAGAGCACCTGTCCATCCACACCAAGCAGTTTCCTCAGTGCCCTGGGGTGAGTGCGCCGTCATTGCAGTCTCACTTGGGTTCCATGTGTGGTTCTGTTGAATCTTGCCACAGTTGTGTTTCTTTTTCTTCTTCTTTTTTTCTTCCTTTTTTAAAGTTGCTATCACCAGATGTTGAAAAGTGAAATTTCAGTTTACCTTGATTTCCTGGAAAATGAAAAGCTTCCCTCTCCCTCCTCCCCCAGCGTCACAAATAAGGCGCATCTTCTTGCAGTAAAAATAAAGCGATCACTGTGGTACTGTTCTTGTTCACTTGGCTTGCAGATGGTAGAACTTTTCTTTGTGTGACACTGCCATAAAGTGCTGTTAACTTTTCTCACCTGTTTGTACAAGATAATAACAGATACCGATCACTGTGTGTGACAGGATTCAACTGCTCCGCTTTGCCTTGACGTAAATTTTGGGACCAAAGGTACCTAAAACTGGGATTTCCAAACCACGAGCCCAGGCTTGGATGCATTCTCTTGACAGACAGCTGAAGATTTTGTGGTGATCTGATACAATCACACAAAATAGTTATACATCTGGGGTTCTGTGTTTTTTGGAAATAATGGAGCCATATGAAATAAAGGGTTATTTTGCAAAATTGCATACTTGATAGTTTTTACACTTCTTTTAAAAAATAAGTGGGAAGAGCAAAATGGAAACCATACTCTGGTTCAAAATGTCTGCATACATTAGAAATGCTTCTGAGCAGCTCTGCTTTTTCTGTAAGAGCTGTAGACTGCCTGGCTGTGATAGAAGTCATCATTGGAAGGACTTTCTGCATTTTAAAGTTAGACCTTTTATTTTATCATGAGATAATGAAGTAATTATTCACTGAACAACTGTCCTATTAAAATGAGCTAGTTACTTAAAATTACTCCACCATGATGTTCATACTGTATGATGAAAAGGGTTTTTTTTTTATAGCAGTTATCTTCACCTCCAGTTTTCTCCTTCCCTTCTCTGTTACTTGCATTTTTGTTTCATGTGATAAAATGTGGAAACCTGGAGTGACAGTCAGTGGTTTTGCAAAGGGCTGGTGATGTTTGGAATTATTTTGCTGAATTTATTTCATTGGGTATTTTTTTATAAAATCTTTCCAGTAGCCAAGATGTCTTTCAGAAATGTAGAAAGATACCAGAAGCAGCATTTCTCTTTCTTTTCCCTGGGCTGGGGTTTTTTTTTTTGTTTCATTTTGGTTTGGTTTTTTTCTTGTTTTGGTTTGTTTGTTTTTTATTTGTTTGGTTTGGGGAGTTTTGGGGTTTTTTTGGGGGGGGTGTTTTTGGGGTTTTTTTTTGGCTTTTTGTTTTGGTTTTTTGGGGATTTGTTGTTGTGGGGAGTTTTTTGTTTGGTTTTTTTGGTTTCTTTGTTTGTTTGGGGGGGGTTGTTTGTTTTTTTGTTTTGTTTTTTTTGCTGTGGCAAAAATACAGTTGATTTTTTTTCAAGATTATTTCATATGCTTCTGATCCTTAATAGACGAGAAGATTTTCTTTGATGGTTGTATTTATTGTGCTTTTAACTAATGGATTCACAACTTCCACTGTGCTTGCCATAAACACAACAAAAGTAAAATAACTCTTTGGTTCACTGTACAGCTGCAGTGTCAATTTGTGACAGATAACATTGCTCATTAGGAAGGACACAGAGACAAATGTTTCAGTGCCAGAGGTGGCAAGAGGAGGAGTGGAGCACTAGGGGAGAGAGGGGGCAGCAGCTTCTGCAGCCCTCACTCACGGCAGCACCTGCTAGAAGCTGTGCCAGTGCCCAGCTGCAGAGTTCCTCTGGAAGTCACTGTAGCCATGAGTCTTCTTAAAGTTTCTGAGAGCTGAGGGCGTGCCAAGAGCAGAACCTGAGCCCCCTTGAGCCTGGTTTGCCTCCTAGAAGGATGTGACTCCAGCCTTGTTGGGGAGAGGCTGTTGTCATTATGAGATCCATAGTTTTAGAGGGATCTGATTTTAAGCAACTCCAGCTGGGCAGAGCAATGCCAGGTGGGACAGCCCCACCTGTTCTGCAGCCCTGGCACCTCTGGAGTTCAGTGCTGGGGCCCAGTTCTGCAATGTCTGATGAAGGGAAAAGGAACTCCTTGGAGCACCGTGAGACATCTCGCACAATTCCAAACAGCGCCATAGTTGTAGTGATGTCTACCTCTTTGTTTCCCATCTGGGTTTTGTCTTGTTTTTCTGTGTGGTGTTTTTCTGTGTGGGGTGGGGGGAACTGGGGAGTGGGAGGGAAAACTTGAAATCTGAATATTAAGACACTGGTGGGGTATCCAGTGCTTACCAGCTGTGTTGTCATATTGAAAAAGCCATTGTTTTTAATTCCTGCCTAGTATGAAATGTTTGTTTTTAAAAAATCCTTCCTGCTGGAAAGAAAAATGTATTTTTAAAAAGAAAAACATCCCTCTTGGCTATAAGAATGTCAGCTGTATGAGTTGTGACCATATCATGACATGCTGATCAGATAAATAAATTTTTATCTCTCAGGACTCTATTGTCATTTTTGCTGTTCTCGTAACTGTCAGCTTTTCTGAAAGGATGCTCCTCATTTTTAAAGACCACTAATTTCAGCAGGAGCAGCCAATAAAAAATGTGTGTGAATGTCATGAGTGCCTACTCTGGTTTACAAAAAAACATTTTTGTCTTGATTTAACAAAAAAAAAATAAAATCATCCTGTGAAAAATACTGAAAGGCTACAGGTAAAAGACCAGGCTCCTGAGGTGCTCAGGTGTTACATGCTGCAGTTACTTTGATCTCAAAGGCAAAGAAAAGGTGTCTCCTGGGGGAGAAAAAAAGAGGTTTTCTGGTCAGTACCTTTCTGTAGCTAAAATCTGTTAACTTAAACTTCCCCTATGTCCTTGGGCTCTCTGTGGAATGAGGAAGAAGTCTTTTGGGTCAATTGTCCTTTCTAATGTCAGTCTGGTTTTGTGCCAGGTTTGACTAAGATTTCTCCATGAGCTTGGAGAAGTGGTGCATCAGGAATTTCAGAGCACCTAGTGCTGGGATCTGGTACAGCTGAATAAAGGCTGCCAGTATTTTTGCTTAAAAATAAATCATCAAGTTTGTTGTAAATGGTGTTATTGTGTAAGTATTAAAGGCTGCTAAAAACAGATAGGTACTGGATTAAAGGTGGCATGCAGATTTTTAAGTTTGTCTTGGGAAACTGGAAGTTCCAAAAAAGTGGATGTTGTGAAAGGGATCAATAAGATGAAACTCTGGGTCTATACAAAGAGTAAATAATAAGGTAACCTCAGTAGAGCTCTTCTGTGTGGCTTTGGGAAAAAGCAACACTGGTCTTGCTCAATAGAACTACAAGATTAATCAGATGGCAAATGTGGCTCATTATTATATGCCACAATAGAGTTGGTGTTTTATGATCTCACTTGAGAACCTGAAGGAAAAAAATGAAAAGGTCAATTTATACTGAATTACTTTTGAAGAGAAGATTTTTTTCATTTGCAGTTAGCTAGTACAATTCTGCAGATCTGTTCAGCTGTGTACAATATTTTCATAAATTCTATTAAATAAAGCACTTTTTATTACTGATTTTTATTAAGGAGGACAAGTTGCTGAATGGTGTGAGTCACTTAGTGCAGTGTATGTTTGATGCTGAGCAAAAGGAAGGTCATCTAGCCACGAGGAACAGATGTCTTCCAGGAAGAGAAATTAACCAGAAACACAAGAGTTGAGAAATTCTGGCAACTGAGGGCTGCAGTGTCATTTCTATTGTAAACACATGGAAGTAAAGAAAAGGGAAGGTTTGATCCTTTGAGCAGACAGACCAAGTAGGAGCAGAGGGTAGCAGGACGTCCCTCTGCAACATTAGTGAGATCATATATTGAATATTCACTCAAAGTGGCAAGGCAAGACAGAAAAGAAGAGCCTGTCAGTGTTTTCCCCTTAAGTGAAACTGTTGGGTTTTCTACTCCTGTGCTTTTGGCAACACTGAAGATGTTCTGATACTGTTCTTGTGTTCCCTTCTCTCTGCATTTCTCTTAGGCAGACACACTGTGTCTTCCTCATCAGCAAGGATTTGAAGGGGAGAAACCCAGAGATGTTAGATAGGGGCTGTGCTGCACTTCTGCCTTGAGTGCACAAGATGTCAGAAAGATGCCTGACAAAAAGAGATGAGAAAAAGCTCCCCTCACTGGATGAGACTGTCACTTTCCTGCAATAAAAATGCCCAACTTAGAATCTGTTAGAACAGAACTGGTGGTTTGGTTTGCTTTTTGGGTTTGGTTTTGTTTTGTTCTGGATTTTGCCACTGCTCTGACTAAATACTCTCTTGCATCTGGCAAAACCAGTGGAACATTTTGTGTGCAGTGCTCTGCTCTGTTACACCATGGCCAAACAATTTACAGGACCTTGTGGACAAGCAATTTGAAGAGCCTTCAGAGCTGAACCTTGTATCCTGTAAGGTGGGTGGGGTTGCTTTTTCAGGAGATTCCTTATCCAAAGCTGATGACAAAAACAGATGTGAATAATATTTAACATTTAGTAAAGTCTTAAAACTAAGTTCTGTTAATTTCCCACAGGCCTGCAGTAATATTTGCTGAAGCAATTTTGCTTAGGTGGCACTAGATAAATTTCTGTCAAAAACAATTTTCTCCCACTTCTGTTTATTCCAATATTAAGTCTTGATTGCACTGTCACTTAAGGCAGTAACTGATGGTTTTTCTTACTCCAGCCAAACCTCATGGGAAATACTCACAAGATGCAGTTTGATGTTCCATGTTTGTACCACAGCTGATCCCTAAAGTTCAGAACAGGCAGCTAAGGATTTGCTAAGAGGCAGAAGCACCTGTAGGTGAGAACAGTCACCAAAGGTTGCCTCTGACACCTGCTCCTGTGAGGCCCTTACCCAAGTCTCTCTGTTTGCTGAGAGAAGGATCTAGGTCAAGATTGATTTTTAGCATGTATCATTGGATACGCCTTACATGAAGTGAAGCTGTACCAACACAACCCCAAAAGACCCCAGGCAGAGACAATTAAAGCCACAAAGTTAATCTGCAAAATATTAGAGAAAGAAGGAAGCCTTGTCTGCTTAGCTTATCCAAGGGTTAAGTAAAATGCCACTTTGCTATGTACAAGTACTCAGCAGGTGCTGTCGGTCATGGACTCCTGGCTGGAAAAAAAAAGGGCTGAGGAGGCAGCACTTGCATGCAGAATATAATGAGCTGAGCTCAGGATGAGGAAGGGAGGGAAAGCCCCAGCTTGGGCATGTTTTTAGTTCTCCATCCTTCAAGTCCTGAAATCAGAACTGTTGCCTTAAATGTTTTATTACAGAGCTGAAATAGAAGTAGGTACTGTTTAGCCTAATTACAGAGGGAGGTTGTGACCTACATTATGCAGGTAACAAGGCTAAATAATTCATGGGCTTTGGCCCAAACGTCTGTGAAACTTAGAATTTTATTAGCAGCTAGATGGCAAATTCTTTTTTTATGCTTTTACCTTCTCAATGCAACATTTCTGTTTTCTGCTCCAGGCTTACAAACCCCAATTCTGCAAGAAATAGCAATAAATACAATGCTAATTTTTCAGATTAATCATTTGCATCTCTGGAGTAACTATTAAAATATCTTCCTTTCTTATATAAGCACAGATGCATAGAGAGCATAGAGAGCTGCATAGAGAATCAGGCCCCAGATATGTCTGAGCCATTAACCTCACACTCAGAATAGTTAGGACAAGTGCCTCAGAGAAAATTGTAAGGATCCCTGGAGTGGACAAGCACCAAATAACCTTGCTATGTATAGGAATTTTCTTCCTAATCCTTCCACTAGAAGTTGGTTTATATCCTGGCCCACTGAAATTTACATCCCTCTTTTGTTTTACTTTCTGTTTACCTCTCACTGTCAGGGTTTGTTGGTTTAGTTTTTGGTTTTGTTGACCCAATGATTTCTGAGCTTGGGAAGGTTAATGAGTCCTGCAGGCCACTTGGAAACTCTGTCAGAAGAGCACTTTTTTCAAAGTTGATTTATAAGGAATGAAACTTTTTCAAATGAAAAAGTTTCATTCCTTATAAATCTTCTGGGTTTGCATTGGTTCTTCCTTTCCTCTTGTGTTATCAGATTTAAAAGAAAACACCAAACCCTGATATAGCTTTTCCCCTCTACCTTTCCTGCTTTTATATCCCCTGTCAGTCTGCCACAGCTGAGCATTTCTCTGAACTACTTAAATTTCTGTTCTCATTGTGGCAGATCCATCACCTGCATAGTTAAGTTCCTTCTGC